ATAGCATCTCGAGCCGGACACTCACCGCGTATATGTGGAAAAAATCCGTGTTAAATGAAAGTTCAGCTCTGGCAAGGCACCGCGTATATGCGAAAACGCGTTAAGTGAAACCGCGTTAGGCGGGGTAATACTGCGCATATATATATATATATATATATATATATATATATATATATATATATATATATATATATATATATATATATATATATATATATATATATATATATATATATATATATATATATATATATATATATATATATATATATATATATATATATATATATATATATATATATATATATATATATATATATATATATATATATATATATATATATATAAATCACAATATTTTATAATTGCAGTCATGTACTGAATATTCTATGTAAAAAATATAAATTTTAAATGAATTATTTTAGTGTGGTCGACTTCCTACACAAAGACGGGCTATAAATAGCCGTCTTATCTCCCCTCCCCTCCACCCTCTGTTCTCAGAGAGAAGGTCTTGGTAAATAACTTTTGTTTGTTTATTTTCATTGTTTGTCTAATTTATCATGTTGTATCAAAGTAATATTACTAAAAGTTAGGCAGCTACCAAACAGGCAGATACTACCGCCTGGGAAGATATTGGAAGCATAATGTACAGTATTGTCTAATGGTAGATCCTACTTCCATATGGCATCACGAAAATTGTGACCAAGTCTTAGGTTGCTGATCTATTTTTCTGCCTCATTTAGACACAATTGCAGAGTTTCGATTGTTTCTCTTCCTTTGACAACACAACATACATACAATATAATGTTTCTCACCTTTGATCTTTTTCCTTTTTGCATTTATTTATGGTTGGTTATTTAAAATAAAGGCCAATTCACTTCAAGTATTGGCATCAAATTTTACCGGCTGGTGTACACTAGTGACTCACTTAAGCTTCAGTTATTTAACTGGAACTAATGTCGGTGTGAATAAAATATTTCCATTTTCTTGAAATAGATTTCTTTAAATATAAGGTTCAGTAATCATCATATTATTTCTGATAAGATTAACCTCCTATCTTATATTAATGAGACACAGTTTCCTGACTTACAGGATTCTTTTCCTTTATATTTATCTTCCGGTATAATCCTTCCTGGTTTTATTATAACTACCATCATATTTATCAGTTCCTTGATTGTTATGATAATTTGTTACAAGAAGATTTCTTCTAGGTACACAATAGTTTCTAAGAAGACTTTTCGGAAGGAATTGCAAAAGCATGTGCACGAAGAAAAAGTTTAGCTTAAACACACCTTTTTGTAAAAAGGTTAGGTACACCTAGGATTTAAACCATGAGGTCTCGGTTGGATGTAGCCGAGCGGTGTAACAGCACCATTTGTATTATATAAATATTAACCCAAATGTATAATACCAAATTATTCACCAAGTTATTCAACTGTGCCTCAGCTGTTGATGTTATGCATGGCTGAGGTTGCAGTTTCTTTGGGGAGCGGGCGAGGGCAGGCTGAGGTCAGCGCATGTTAACAACAGCAAGATATCTGACGCGTTTCCTTTATCACACTCTCAAGGCCTGCTTCTCCCTCTCTCCCTTGGTTAGGGAGATGAGACTCATATCATTTGTTACCCAGTAAACACCTCACTTAAGTGTTCTCCTATAAGTGCACTAAGACACTTCCCTGAGCAGAGAAGGTACAATATACTCTCAACTGAACTCAGTACCTGTGAAACTTTATTTTTCTACAATAAAGAAAAACCAACAAAGTGTTTACTTTAGTCCTGCCACTTATCAATTCCAGAACTAATATACACATTCAACCACGGGCTATAAATATGGCGCCGGTGGTCCATGCCTTCTTATTTGCCTTGTAGAACACAGGAAGGTGACCCTTAGAGAAACCTTTCAGGGCCAATGGGTTGGCATCGCGAGAAATCAGCATAGGCTTCACCTTGAAATCACTGGCAGCATTTGCGCCAAGCAGCAGTGTCAAGCGGTCTTTTGTCGCTTTAAAACCTGGCGCTCTTTTCTCTTCCTTGGAGATACAGGTCCTCTCAGGCATCCTCTTCCAAAAGAGACCATTCTCATCCACATTGAAGATTTGCTTCAGTGAGTAGCCTCCTTGTTGGATAAGCAGTTTGAATTCTGGCGGGAATGTCTCGGCAGCAACTGTATCTGAACTGGCCACTTCACCAGCCATCTTAATATTATGGAAGTTATACTTGCGTTTAAATCGTTGAAACCATCCTTGGCTGGTCGTAAAGGTCTCTTCCTTCGATCCTTCTCCCTCTTCCGCCTGTATGTCGTCAAACAAGTATCTGGCCTTATGCTGGATAACCATAAGTCACACAGGCGCATTGCGTTGATTCTGGTCCTCCATCCACATAGCCAGCATCTTTTCCACTTTTTCTATCACGGTGCTTCTAGTACCAGTTGTCTTAGTAGCACTCGGAGAAGAACCACTTCCAGCACTAATCTTTATCTTGTCAGCGTTGGTCCAGATAGTACGCACCATTGAGGGGGTTAGACCAAGCACAGCAGCTATGTCCACAGCACGTTCCCCTTTTTCAAATCGGTATAATACATCCATTTTTGTAGCAAGGGTAATGGTCTTATATTGCCTTTTCACTGCACTAGCATCAGTAGCACTTGATGGGTACATGGAAGCCATTTTGAATGGTTAGAGTACAGTTTTAGAGCAAAAGCACTTAAGCACACACGAATGATGTGAAGTCGTAACAGAGACTGGCTTGGCGTCGCTTGGGGATGCTGTGACCTTCCGCGAGTGAGGGCAGTGCGCCGAGCCGAGAGAGCGTAGCGCGGCCAGACAAGAGCGGGTGATGTGCCGTTGAAAGTAGTCCATGACGACGCAAAACGACGTAGTAGTTTCAAATCACCGGGACGTTAAACGAATTTTTGGTCTCTAAAGTTTAGCAACGTAGTACCGAAACAACGTTAAGCAGGACGACGTTAAGCGAGGACTTACTGTACATAATTTTCTGCACTTTTTTCTTTACTAAGTTACATGCACACAATATTACATACAGGATATTAAACTTCCTTTGTGTATTAAAGAGTAATCACACTAAGCAGGGAAGTGGGTAGTGAAGGATCTTGGCTGTTCTGAGCTGTTTGTAGTGAAGTGAGTGATAAATTTCGTTGTCCAGCAGCCAAATGGCAATACAGGAAGTCCTCACTTAATGTTGTGGTTACGTTCATGTAAAACACAATGTTAAGAATCAGTTTCCCCATAAGAGATAGATAAAATATGCTAGTTACTTTCCCCAGCCTCCCTTTGCCTTATAAAATACATTTCATATGCATAAATTCGATGGAATTTTTATAGAGAATATATATTATACATCAAAAAAGAGAAATAAACGCTTCTGCCATCCTCTTGGTATTTCGTGTTCATTGAGGTTCTTCTTCGTCGTCAGCGTCTTTAGCGGCACTTTGTTTTGTTAGCAGTTGCAGATCTTGATTTGTTAACTCTTCTGTATGGGTTGCCAGGACTTGCTCAATATCCCCAGAATCCAACTCATGAAAGCCTGCCTATCTAGCCAAGCTGAAGATATCCCTATTCAGAGTTGGGACTAAGTCCATGAATCCCATAAAATTGTTCATGCACTCGGGCCATAATTTACACCACACACCATTCAGGCAAAAACAGGCTGAGCATGCAGGTACGCTGTGGAAGCTTAACAAAGACTGGGGAGAAAATACTTGGGGACGCTGTGATGCTCCACGAGAGAGCGTAGTGCACTAAGATGAGAGAGGGTGGCACGCCGTGTTGGATGACAACGTTATAACTAATCGGTCGGGTCGTAAAACAACATTGTCGGAATCATGGGTATCTTAAGAGTAGCAATGTTATAACGAAACAATGTTGTCTGGGACAAATTTAAGCGAGGACTTACTGTATAATATTTTTTTGTATTTATTGGTATTACAGTATAGTCTCGATTTACTCAGTCAATTGAACTTGTGGAGGTCCGCATAAACCAAGAAACGCGTAAATGAAATAACAGAACATATGGGATTAGTTGAAATAGAGACTGGGCCGAACCCCAAACTATACTTTACACTTTTTCCGACACAATACGTACGTTGTAGTAAAAATAACATCTTAATTTTATGATGGTATGCACACACAATTAATAATTAAGAAAAATACAGTCACCGGTTAATGTCCATTCAAATAATGGACTCAACTCTCCCTCCCTCCCTCCCTCCCTGAGAAATGTTTGGGTGAAAAGACTAGGTTTTTAGGTTTAGTAATAAATAATACCTCAGACTATGGGTAGGATAATATAATTGACATTGCTGGATTCCTTGCAAGACTGGGAATATTTTGAATATACGTAAACGTCATATATTTTGCACTAAAGATAAAATTTTTGCTCTCTCTAATAAAATTCTTAAATTAGATCTAAAATTTGTATGTCTAATGCAAATTTTAACTTATTTATATTCAAATTAATCACTATCTTATAAGAACATCAGCAATGTAAATTATATTCTGGCCAGGTAATTTCTATGAATTTTATGAGCTAAAAACAAATATCCTCAGTAAATAAACAAATTATACTTCACCCAGACACAATACGTTTATGTTGTAGTAAAAATAACATCTTAATTTTATGACGGTATGAGGCACAGATTATTGGCCCTCACCTGTCTCACTTGTATCACCTGTATCAATATCCACCACAGAGGCTTGCAGGGCCTCTTTGTCAAACCCCTCAAAGTCCATATCCTCACTATCACTATCACTGACTTGGGCTGGCTGTGGTGGGTGGTGGGTGAAGAACTTGGTAATGTTTTGTTGACTGGGCGACCTTGTGCGCATCCTGCCTGCGCTGCTTCCCGCGTAAATGATGGAATGAACTGGGTAAATATAAATTGTCGGTCTGGCAAGGTGCCGTGTAAATGACCAAACGCGTTAACCAAATCCGCTTAAATCGAGACTATACTGTATTTATTCCTCACTGTTATTCATATACAGTTTCAGAGATGGTAACACTGTTCATAGCACCAGGTCAGACTCGGCTGTTGTGGTGGTGGTCACAGACAAGACTTATTGGTGGTGTCTTGCTACAAATTACAGTACGTCTAAGATTATACCTGGTATTTCTCAGAAGCTAAGGTCAAATTATAGGCTGATTTAACAATGTGTAAAGGGGAATAAATACTAATCCTTCATTATTCTGTATCGTTGTGATGTGGGCTGAGCTGGTGGGACCATGTGGTCCCAGCCACATCACTCAAGAACAATAACAATGACCCACAAGATGCCAAGATATTTTTTTAATGTTAAATAATTTTGTTCTCCAAGATTCAAGTCATTATTCAAATGTGTTGTTACTCAGGTGTCCGGTACTTGGGGTGTTTACTGCATTTCTAGCCTCTATTTTCATGAGTCTTCAACTCATAGATTTGGGCTGGTAATATATGATTCATCCATTCCAGACTCATTTATGAAACGGTTTCAGGATCAATCTTTCATTTCAAATAAACTCTGTCACATATACTGGGTAAGTATTTAATCAGACTACCCACCCAGTCACTCATGACTAGACTTAGGATAATTATGCATTTGCATATGTGCATATGCAAATGCATACTTTAGCCATTTTTGAGCTAAAGTGCATATTCATAATTTTTTGTTTTGTAAGGCATATATTTGGAAAATTCCAAAATATTATAAAACCTTCTTCAACCTCAAGGGTCAAAAAATTCGCGAGCATGCAAGCAATGCTGGGGCAGAAATTACTGATATTTGAAATATAAATATCCATTTTATTCCATTAATACAAAATTGAAGCTACGCGATTTTGTTTTAGCGTCATAATATCCAAAAGGAACATACTTAAGTGACATTTATATAGGTCAACATTAGGCTGTGGTTCGCTAGGCCGTGATTGGCTGGTCATTGGACATGAACTGTACGTGATGGGTTCGTGTTCAGCCAGGCAGGGTATAGATGCACGGGCTCCTTCGGCTCCTGACACTCCTTTGTTCTTCTATTTTCTTAAAAGGAATATTTGTTCAGTATTGTTTATTGAATTACTTTGTGTCAGTATATTGTTTTTTTGTATTTAATCCTTCTTTAAAATATCCTACTTCGGCGACATCCTGTCTGGTAAAGTAAATTTATTGAGAAAATGTACAGAAAAGGAGTTGTTAACTTAGTAGTTTTTATTTATTTACCTATTTTAAAGTGCATATTTAAGTGCATATTTTCTCAGTTTTTACTGCATATTTGCATGCATATTTAGCCATTTTTAAGTGCATAATTATCCTAAGCCTACTCATGACCCTCAGCACATGAGTATAGTACTAGATGTCTTGGAAGTGACTATATGCAGGACCATCCTACAGCTAATTAAAAAAGGCTATATAAAGGACTGTCCTGCAGCTACTTAAAAAAGGCTATACGGCATACAGGACCACCCTGCACCTAATTAAAAAAAGGCTATATAGCTCCTCCCCGACTTACGACAGGGTTAGGAACCCAAATTCAGGTCGTAAGTCGAAAATGCTTAAATAATACATAGAAAATCTAAAATGGGTGTCTCTTTTTCTTCTCAGCACCACAAAACTCTCACTTTTAAGCTTGCCAGCCATTTTAAAGTGAATTACAAACGAAAATTTTGTCTGTGTACTGACGTTGGGACTCAAAAATAAGTAATTTGACAAAATTTTGGTACGACTGACGCAGGTCGTAAGTGCGAGTTGTTATAAGTCGAGTAGGTCGTAAGTCTGGGAGGAGCTGTACACTATACTGTATGTAAAACAATTTTTTTGTTTTGGATGATCTCACAAGATAAAAAAATGGTGTTGTCTACAGTATAGCTATTTTTAATTAGCTACAGGATGATAGTACATATAGCCTCAGCCAGATAGCTCTGTCATTTTTTATTTCACATCAGAGTAACACATACAGAACCTATGTGAAAGACTTTACTAATTGTGAAATATTTTGTGTACAATTTAAAGGTTTTCAGTTTCATTGAAGTCTTATGTTTTCAGTTGTGGTCCCATATTTGGTGCTGGTGCAGATCTCTTCATAGCTGGCAATTGTAATCAGAATCTTGAAAGTTACTCCAACCTTCCACATTCATATGATGGTGAAAATGCATCTTGCAATACACTGATGAGTGATTACAACTTTACAGTTTTAGATTATGAGGTGTTTACCCCCTATGGAAAATGAGCAAAATGATTTTGTCTCAATTATTGTGATATACATTTCAGTACATTCCATTTAATTTGTATTATTGTATAATAGAAAGGTGACAACCTGGCATTGGGAATCATGCTGGATTTGCAGCTTTAAGAAGAGTTTATGATCCTTTAGCTGGGCAAAGTTAGGAGGAATACTATATACTGTACTCATTATGGTGTTCTCAGCTTTGGTTGCAGTTCTGTCACAGCTCTGAAATAGATAATTCTTCCTCCAGGAACTGCCATGTTACAAAGTGGGATATGACACTGCATATGTTAGTGATTTATTTTTGTGTATGACTGACTATTTGGTAATTGTAATTTCAGTGCTAAGTGTCTTAAAAATGTAATTTAGCTTAGATATGTAATTTGGTCTGTATGTTAAGATTATTCTTATTAATCTCTGTAACATTAAAATTTAATATTGATTGATATGTTTTACTGTTGAAAAAATGTTCACTGATTTCCAGTTCAAATTCCCTGTTATTTTAGTGAAGTACAGTACCAGAAAGTCATTATCTCTTCAGAGAAACATAGTGCAGTACAAACTTTACTATCCATGGACGTTCCTTCCTGGCCCAATGTAGATAGTTGATGCTGCCCCCCTTTTTCCCAACCCAATATTGCATATAACAATTGACAACAGTGCATTGAAATTATTGATAGTGTGTACTGATTGTGAATATGGTGTGTATGCAATACAATTCACTGCAGTCACATTCTTCTAACAGATGTTCGCTAATACACATATCCTTGTGGTAAATTATCACTTATGTTTATTTTTGTGGTATGCAGCTATTTGTAAAAATTACTTAAATACAAAGCAGATGTTTCGTTAATTATTCGTATTGCCAAGTTAAGGAAACATTTTTTGTCCATAGTTTCACCAGAGTAACAGTAGATTCAAATTGTTATGCAAACAAGTACAGCCTTTTAAAGTTTGTGCAGAAATAACCAAAGTCTCATAGATCATGTAACAATTACTAGAAATGAAACAGAGTACATACAGTAAGCCCTCCTCCAATGTGGGAGTTCCTCAAAAATGGCGTGTTAGGTGAATGCGCATTAAAAAACTTATCTTAAGAAATTAATAAAGTTTGCACACTTCATTCTGATTGGCTGAAACAAAACAGACAACTATAACAATGCATTCTTGTTGGAATCAATTACCGGTAGTTTTTCTTCTTGATTTTAAGAAAAAAGATGGGGAAACGAACTTTGTAATAAAGAGGCTGCACTATGCTGCTTTGTAACTTATCAAAAGCTTTAATTTTTTCTTCCGATGTCATCACTTTAGGCTTCTCACTATTCCACCTCTTGGAGATCCTCTATGTTTAGAATCCATAGTGTCTAAGGGTTAGTGTCACAAAAAACCCAGCAAAAAGTACATCAACTTGGATAACATGCATTAACAAGGCTACATCTTACGCCTGCACCCAGTAGGTGTAAGATGCAAATTGAAAAGATATCACAGGAGAGTGACAGATCTTGAAAGTTTGAGAGCACACTGTACCGAGTATACCTGATAACTTTTCTACATTCGGCAAATAATTGGTCACAGTTATTTTAGCATGTATACAGTAAACCCTCAAAAGTCTGAATTTCAGATATCCAGACCCTTTCCGGGCAAGAAACATTTGTCCGAATCCTTTAATATTTGTCATTTGAGATTCCCACTTCACACAATCTTTTGAAATTGCCTCGAGGCCTCTTTCCTCCTTGTGGACCTGTGAGTGAGCAGTTAATTCCTCCACTCTTAGAATGGATTCACCCATAATGCTGCACTGTGATTGGTTAGCTTTAAGTTCAATACATATTCAGCCACAGAAAAATGGCAAGATTTTAGGTGAAATAATTCAAACTATGGTGATGGTAATCCTCCAGTGAAGAGAACAGAAGATGAGTGTGTATTGCAGCTTCCATATGTCTCACACACACACACATACCTGCTGAAGTCCATCTCAGTCTGTTATTTTCAGGACAAATTACAGGTATATATCATATTTTTTCTATTACTTAATATTTTATATTATTAATGATGAAACATATACCATAAGAGGCTGATCATATGATAATTAATAAATAAAAACAAATGCGAACATGGCAATGGCCAGTCCCATCCCCACCCCCTCTTTTACGGAGGAAGGGAATCAGTGGTTAGAGAAGAGATTACCTTCTGATTCGACTTGTCCTCTTATTTTAAAGTCACGTTACAAATTTTGTATTGTAGTTTTTATATTATTCAATACTGTATGCTAATTATTTATGATGAATCATATGCCATAGGCTCTCATTAGGCTTATACCGGATCTGATTAGACCACTGTACAGTATCCCCACAAAAGACAATACATTATACTGAATATTGATAATGAATACGGTACTATATTTTATAAAAAATTAATTCTTTTTTTAATGAACTGTACAGTACAGTACTACTATATATAAAGAAAAATATACATGACATTTATTGCACTTTGAAATCAAAATTTAAGGATCATCGGGGGCTATTGAGTGGCTGCTTAGTGCGCAGTGGCTTCCAGAACCCCCACTTTGAGAAAGTCCGGACCCCCTTTACCCCCAAATTGTCCAGATTTTCATGGGTTTGCTGTATAAATGAATCTGCATTGGAGGAGGGCTTACTGTACGGTGTGTTTGATGCATTTGGATAAGCTGCGTTCCACGATGAGTAAAATTATTGAAGATATGAGTTAGTTTGAACTAAAATAATAACACTTTTGGCCTCACAATCTATAAGGACCTTTGAAAATCTAAACAAAATTATAGTTGCCAAAGAATGTGAGCTTTGCAAGCTTAATACTACAATTATATTTTTTTAGTTTATTATCTTTTTTAATTTTGAACTGAATAATTCAGCCCCAGTTAATGAGGCATATGCTCATTAGTGCATGTCAAAAATCAGTACAGTGTAAATGAAAGATTAACACATTTGCTTTCTAATCATAGATGCATCATGCCTTGGTGTGCATTGTCTGAGAATGTTTAGGCCTAGATTAATTCATACCTCTACCTGGAAACATTCTATGCCATAAATGTATGTATCATTGTGCAGGATGGAATTTCTACTTAACTAAAACAATTAATGAGCTTCAGCATTAGCTTTTTCTCAAATATATGCAACAGAGCATACTGTACAGTATATATTAGGTATGGCTGTTAAGAAAATACATTACTAAGGACATGTAAAGGGGAAGTTGCATACATTAAAAGGTCCTGTTTCTGCAAAAATTAGATTAAGTTTCTAGGACAGGTCAGAATAGTAGGAAATAAACTGTGCCAAAAAATGCAGATAATTGAGGTTTACAGTTAGTACTTAGGTGGATAGTCTAGGTTGTACTGTAATTGAAAAATGGCTTTTGAATGAAAATTTCACTGATATAGCTACCGTATTTGAATACACCTGCTAATTATTCAGTGCAAACTCACTTTTTGGCTTGGAATGCTCTTCCTGATGGCTTAGAGGATAGTACTGTCAATAAAATGTAACTTGGTGTAATTAAATAACTTATTAATGCTGTAATTTGTTGGCTGGCATGAGCTTAGGGGAGAGAAGGTATTATCAGAATTGTTTGTCCATAGAAGACTGCTTGCTGTGCAAGTTTTTGGTATTCGCTTCATTTCTCACCTTTTTGTATTGTTTTAGGAATCTTTAAATTTTAACTTCAAGAATCAAAGTTGTGACATTTGAAATCTCTCATCACATTTTCAGTTGTGTTGTGCAAAACTAAACCATCGTGCTGAATTCTTCATCATGTATAATATGAGCATCTTTATTTTATCTCTGAGAGTAGAATGTGAGCTAAGTAATGACTGGAAGGTTTGAAGAAGATTGTGTATGTGGCACCTTTAATACAGTGCAGGAATTAACTTATTGATACAGATGAATAAATGTATAGATAGATAAGTGTTTTACCTAACACAAATGTTACCTGTATTTGTGGTAGAAAAGATGTATTTTTAATTTTGTATATGCTCATGTGTGTAGTGTGATCACCAAAGATCTTAAATATTGTATTTTTAAATATATTTAACATTAAATGTGTATCACTGTTTCATCCTCTTCCTCAATTTATTTATCTTAAGCATGAAGTATAATTTCACATGAATTGAGTGAAGACACTGATGACTGCTCAGTACGTGTATACAGTAAAACAAAAAGAGTTTACTTACGTCTTTTGTAATTTAGTTAACACTTTGACGGGGCAATGATGAATATTTCATCATCCAAAAAACTGCTGTTTGTATTCCGATGATGAAAATATTGTCTTCTACTTCAAAACCTTCCCAAAAATCTTTTTATCAGTTGATTTTCAACGTTCAAGTCTCAAAATGTGTGCCATTGTCTTCCTATTCTGCGCACAACTGTGGTGAATGTGAGAAGTCGGGAGAACTGCCCTGTGGGGCTACCTGTTATCATGTGAGAACAGGGAGGCAGTGCCCCAGTTTTTTGTTACCCCAATTGTGCTGCGCCCCAGATTGTACTGCTGCCCCAGATTTAATGCTGCTGCCCCAGATTATATGCTGCCCAGACTGTACTGTTGCCCCAGGTGTGCTGCTCTACATTAATGCTGCATCAGATTGTACTGCTGCTTAGATTGTACTGCTGCCCCAAATTGTAGTACTGCCCCCACATTGTAATGCTGCACGGTTTGTACTGCGCCCCCCAGTTAACTGCGCCCCCAGATTGTACTATTGCCCCCAGTTTATGCTGCCACCCAGTGTACTTCTGCCCCGGTTTTGTACTGCTGCCCCAGATTGTACTGCTGCCCCAGTTGTACTGCTGCCGCCAGATTGTGCTATTGCTGCCCAGTTTGTACTGCTGCCCCAGATTCTGCCCCCAGTTTGTGCGCTGCCTCAGGTGTATTTGCCCCAGATTGTACTTCTGCCCCACATTGTACTGCTGCTCCCAAATTGTACTGCTGCCCCAGATTGTACTGCTGTCCCCAGTTTGTACTGCTGCCTCCC